TGTGAATAATCTTGGGGTGTATGTAAGAAACACTCTATGTAGATTATATTTCATTCCATAAAAGTAAAAATAAAATCTATGACAAAGGATATATTAAAAAACAAGACAGACTGAAAAATTATTTTTACAACACATATGATAAAGATAATAGCCATAAACACAAAAAACTTCTACAAATTAATGAAAGAAAAAAATACAATAGAAATTGCGCAGACTATCAATAGGTAATTTACAGAAAATTCATATGGCTCGTAAGCAAATGATATCATGCTCAATCTACCCAATATTTAAATAAGTTCAAATTAAAGCAATGACATATTTTTCATCAGAAAGACTGACAAAGAGCACCAAGTGCTGTTAAATTGTGGGAAAATGAAAATGGGCAACTCAAACAGTGTTGATGGACTGAATGTACTATATCTGGAAAGTAATGTTACTAGTTATTATAATAAAAAAAATACACATACTACCTGATGTAAGAATCTATCTTACAGAAATAAAAACATATATATGCAAGTGTTTATGTATAAAGATATTTATTGACAATTGTCTAACGCAACAAGGAAATGGAAACAATATAAACATTCATCAATAAACAATATGAACATATAATACTTCTACATACGTAGTATTCTGTAGCTAATAACACTAAAATGAGTAAGTTAGATTTATATGTACCTGGAAAGATGTCCATGATGTATTTTATAGGAAAAGTCACAGTTTGATGTCCATATAGTGATCCTTTTTAAATATATAAATATCCACAAACAACCATGAAAAAAAGAACCATGTATAATAAACATGTACATTTCAGCATACAGAAAGCTACAGACAAGTATTAATAAGGCTTCTAACATGTTAGTTTAGGAAGCCATATTTTCTTTTTCCTTTATGTATATTTGCTATAATTTCTCATTTTGGAGGTAACTGCATTATGTAATTTCAGAAGGCAATTCAGTCCAATATGATAAGAAAAACTACATAAAAATATAAGTTTAATTTCTAACATTTCTTTTGAGAATAAGTAAAAAACCATTAGAGGTAGAGAACACCATGGTCCACTTGACCATCTTTATTCTTCTATTTGTTATACCATTTACCTTAAAAAAACAACCTCTAATTCTGAAAGCTTGATTTATGGACTAGATATATCAGTGATAAAGCCATTTATTTTATTACCATGCTTCTAAAATCCCACAAACCTGTTTTCTTGTTTTTTGTTTTCAATATCTCATTAAGTTGAACTAAGAAGTGGGGTATAGGGAAGAGTAAGAAAGGACTGTGAAGGAAGATCATTACATAGAGGGATTTCCCTTTTTTAAAAGGACAAGGGTCCCATATGTAGAAGAAGAATGTGACTGGTTTACAGAGAAAGCAACTTGCTCTCTCATAAACTTAGTGGGCCTCAAGCTATAATGTTTTAGAATTTCCACCCCTGAGATTATTTCTTTCAGCTAGAGCAGTGTTTACAAAAATAGTTCACATGCAAAAGATATTAATAGGCATTATAAGAAGGGATTTATGGTCAAGTAAGTTTGGCACATGATGAGTTGAAGTTGAAAAAGCTGCTTTACTACAATATTTATTACAGCCCTGATGAAATACAATGAACTTATTGCTTCAAAAAGACCTTGAGAAACTTAACAGAAGACCATGGGGGAAGGGAAGGAGAAAAAAAATAGTTACAAACAGAGAGGGAGGGAGGCAAACTACAAGAGACTCTTAAATACAGGGAACAAACTGAGGATGGACAGGGGTGGGAGGAGAGGGAAAATGGGTGATAGGCATTGAGGAGGGCACTTGTTGGGATGAGCATTGGGTGTTGTATATAAGTCAGTCTGACAATAAATTATATTTAAAAAAGTGATGTGAAATATGCCATGATTTACAGGCTTGTTTGATCACACAGTCTTTCTTTCTAATATCATGTGAGTTCTAGCATTACTTGAAATTACTACAGGAAATTTTAGGCTAACATATTATCTGTGGAATTAAATTAACACAGAGATATGGTCCTTAGTAAAAGGATTCAAAACAAATCGTTTTAAGGTAGCACATGCTATATTACTTTTACATCATTATAAAAATATTTTTCATGAGACATCCTATAGAGGCACCTGGGTGGCTCAGCTGGTTAAGCTTCTGACTCTTGATTTCGGCTCAGGTCATTATCCCAGGTCATAGGATCAAGCCCCATGTTGGGCTCCACACTGAGCACGGAGCCTGCTTAAGATTCACTCTCTCTCCATCTACTCCCCACCCTGCTCATACACTCTCTAAAATAAAAAAGAAAACACATCCTATAAAATGACAATGATCAAGGCAGTGTAATATTGGCAGAGGGATAGATACATAGATCAATGGAATAGAAGAGAAAACCCAGAGGTAAGATATACACAAATACATTCAATAGATTTTTGACAGAGGTACAAAGGCAATTTAATGGAGGAAACACAGACTTTTCAGCAAATGGTGCTAAAGTAAATGGACATCCATAAGCCAAAACAAACTAAGAAAGAACACCAAGCTAAAGCATACAATATACATGAAAAGTTAACTCAAAATGTATCACAGACTTATGTGTAAAACATAAAATCATGAAAAATTTATGCAAAAACATAGGAAAAAAGTCTTCAGGATCTGGGCTAGGCAAAGAATCCTTAGATTTGACAGCAAAGCAAGATCCATAAAAGGAAAAACTGGTAAAGCAGACCTTATCAAAATTGACAACTTTTGCTCTTCAAAAGACCCTCTTAAAGGGGTGCCTGAGTGGCTCAGTCGGTTAAGTGTCTGACTCTCGACATTGGCTCAGGTCATGATCTCATGGTTTGCAGGATCAAGCCCCACGTGGGGCTCTGCACTGATAGTGCTGAGCCTACTAGGATTCTGTGTCTCCTCTCTCTCTGTTCCTCCCCTGCTTGCACACACACACACTCTCTGTCTCTCTCAAAACAAATAAACAAACAAACAAAAACCCTTAAAAAAAAAAAGGAAAAAAAGATAAGCTACGCACCTGGAAAAATATTTGCAAACCACATAACAAAGGACTACTATCATCTAGAATACAGAAAATACTCTTTCAAAACCTAGGAGTGAAAAGTAAAACAATTCAAAAATGACTAAAAGACACAAACAGGCATTTCACCAAAACAGATATACAGATGACAAGCACATGAAAAGGTGTTCACCATCATTAGCCATTAGGGAAATTCATATTAAGACCACAAAGAGACATCACCATACCTAACATGAGGGCTAAAACAAAAAGTGATGACAACACCAAATGCTGAAACACTGGGTTACTCATATGCTCCTGGTGTAAATGTAAAATGGTAAAGCAATTTTAGAAAATACTTTGTCCATTTCTTGTATGAGAAAGCGTGACTTTAGTGTAAGACCAAGAAATTATACTCTTAGGCATTTATACCAGAGAAATGGAAATTTACATTCACATAAAAATCTATACACAAATGTTCATAAATAGCTTCATTTGTAACACCTAAAAACTTATTTTTTTCCTTAAGGTTTCCTTCTAGTAAGAATTTTAATGTTCAGAATGAGGTACAACCGCACATTAATTATATGAGGACGTTCTGCTCCAAAATCATTTATCTGATGATTAGTAAGAATGATAAAAGATTTACCTTATGTACTGTATTTGAAAAGTCTTCCTCTCATTTGAATTCTATAATAGTACACAATTAAAATATTGAAAAAAAGGAAACCCCCCTGCACTGTTGGTGGGAATGTAAATTGATGCAACCACTGTGGAAAACATATGAAGTTTCCTCAAAAAATTAAAAATAGAAATACCATACTATCTAGTAATTCCACTACTTCAGTATTTACCCAAAGGAAATGAAAACACTGATTTGAAAAGATATATGCACCCCAATGTTTATTGCATTATTTATAATAGCTAAGATATGGAAGCAACCTAAATATCCATCAACAGGTGAATAAATAAAGATGTAGTATGTATATACAATGTAATATTACTCAGCTATAAAAAAAAAATGAGATCTTGCCATTTGCAACAATATGGATAGACTTAAAGGACATAATGCTGAGTGAAATAAGTCAGAGAAAGACAAATACCATCTGATTTCACTTAATCTGGGATCTAAAACACAAAAATAGAAATATAATCATAAATACAGAGAACTGGTGGTTGCCAGAGGGGAGGGGGTTTGGAAGATGGATGAAATACGTGAAGGGGATTAAGAGGTACAAACTTCCAGTTATAAAATCAATCTATCAATAAATTAATTAAATAAACAAATCATAGGGATGAAAAGTACAGCATATGGAGTATAGTCAATAATACTGCAATAATGTGGTATTGTGACAGACAGTAATGACACTTATTTTGGTCAGTATTGAGTAAAGTACAAAATTGTCAAATCACTATGATATATACCTGAAACTAAAATAACATTTTATGTCAACTATACTTCAATTAAAAAAAAAATAAGATAATTCTTGAGCCCAGAAGGAAACAATTTTAAAATACTGAAAAACACAATTACAGTAATAACTAATATTTATTTAATATAAACTATGTATTACACATTGCTTTAAGGCTTTTTATGTATTTGCATCTTTAAATCATTATAATGAGAGCGATTTTAATGTTTTATAAATGAAAAAACTAAAGCAAACAGGGGTTAACTAGCTTTTTCCAAAGGAATACATGTGTAGTAAATGGTGGAGTTCAGATCATGCTGAACAAGAGAATGATGCCAAACAAGAAAACCCTACATTTTATGGTTGTACTCTTGTATAAATTCACCAATGTCTAACAAAGATTGAAAAATGATGGAAACTATATTACACTAGCCTCTCTCTGTTTGAATTTTCTGATAGAGTTACCTATGGATGAAAGTAAAAAAGGATTCCCACTTTCATAATCTGAATTTTCTGATATTCCAAAGCTGAGTATCAATGAGCAATCAAAGGATTTAATAAATTTATATTTTCATAAAGTTTTTCTCAATTATGAAGTTTATGATGTTGAGTGAGGTGTGAATGACGTCTGAAGTCCTTACCACATTCGTTACATTTATAAGGCTTCTCACCAGAATGAATTCTCTGATGTTGAGTAAGTTGTGAGCCACGATTAAAGGCCTTCCCACATTCATTACATTTGTATGGTTTCTCACCAGTATGAATTCTCTGGTGCTGAGTAAGATGTGAACCACGAATAAAGGCTTTCCCACATTCATTACACTCATAGGGCTTCTCACCAGTATGAACTCTCTGATGGTAAGTCAGCTGTGAGCCACGAATAAAAGCCTTACCACATTCTTTACATTCATATGGCTTCTTACCAGAATGAGAAATCTGATGTAGAGTAAGTTGTGAGGCACAAATAAAGATCTTCCCACACTGCTTACATTCATAGGGATTCTCACCTGTATGAATTCTCTGATGCTGAGTCAGTTGTGAGCTATAAATAAAGGCCTTCCCACACTCTTTACATTCATAGGGTTTTTCACCAGTATGAATCCTCTGATGCTGAGTAAGATGTGAGCCACGAATAAAGGCTTTCCCACATTCCTTACATTCAAAAGGTTTTTCACCAGTGTGAATTTTTTGATGTTCAGTAAGTTGTGAGCCACGAATAAATGACTTCCCACATTCTTGACATTCATAGGGTTTCTCTCCAGTGTGAATCCTCTGGTGTCGAATAAGCTGTGAGCCATAGTTAAAAGCCCTCCCACACTGCTTACATTCATGTGGTTTCTTACCTGTATGAATCCTCTGATGTTCGGTAAGTTGTGAGCCACGAATAAAGGACATTTCACAGTCTTTACATTTATAGGGCTTTTCACCAGTATGAAGTCTGTGATGCAGGGTAAGCTGTGATCCATAACTAAAGGCTTTCCCACATTTCTTACATTCATAGGGTTTCTCACCCGTATGAATTCTCTGATGTTCAGTAAGTTGGGAGCCACGAATAAAGGCCTTTCCACATTCTTTACATTGATAGGGTTTCTCTGCAGTATGAACTCTCTGGTGGTAAGTAAGTTGAGAGCCACGAAAAAAGGCCTTACCACATTCATTACATTCATAGGGTCGTTCACCAGTATGAATTCTTTGATGCTGGGTAAGGTGAGAGCCACGAATAAAGGCCTTCCCACACTCTTTACATTTATAAGGTTTCTCCCCAGTATGAATTCTTTGATGATAAGTAAGCTGTGAGGCACAAATAAAGGCTTTTCCACATTCCTTACATTCATAGGGTTTCTTAACAACATGAACTCTCTGATGGTAAGTAAGTTCTGAACCCCGAATAAAGGCCTTTCCACATTCTTTACATTCATAGAATTTTTCATCAGAATGAGCTTTCTGATGTTCAGTCAGTTGAAAGCCATGGATAAAGTATTTTCTGCATGCTTCACATTCATAGGATTTCTCAGGAAAATTAATTCTTTGTTTTAACATAAGGGATGCAGTCTGGCTAAAATTGGGGATTCCTTTACAAGTGATTAGTAGTTGCTTGAAAAATCCCTCTTTATTTCCCAATTGGCTTTCAAACTGTTCTTTGCATTCCCCATCATCTTGAAGACTTTTACAATCACACTTAAGTCTTGTAAGCTGTTCTATGATCTCCCACTGAGATGATTCTATTTCATAAATTCCTTTTGTTGAGAACAGCTTTTTGGTCTCACATCTGGATTCCCAGGCTATAAGGTAAAAAGAAAGAAAGTGTTATTTTCATATTCCTTGAAAAATGAAATTTCTAAGGTAGAAACAGTAGACTCAAATTGAGTATCATAGTCATAAGATGTCAGTGGAACCAATGGAACAGAAAAGAAAAATCCAGAAACAATTATAAGTGCAAATTTAGTACATAATAAAAGCTGGCAGCTCAAATCAGTAGGAAAAACATGAACTCTTTTTAATAAGTGAAATTGATAAACATACAGATAAACACATCAAAAAAAGAAAACTGCATTAATTCTGCATATCTTACAGTTGGATAAATTCCAAATGGATCAGACATCCATATTTACAGGAATGAAAACATACATATAATTAGAATAAAATTTGGGGGACTTCTTCTATAAACTAGGAATGGGGAAAACTTTCCTAGTCATAATTTGATAAAAATGACTGCACTATGGTTAAAGAAAAAAGAAAGGCTGGCATGTCAAAAACACGGTTAAGGTTAGGTTAAGTAAAATGACAAACTTGGAAAAAATATTTGCCAGGTTGCAATATCCCTAATATATAAACAGTTTCTAAAATTAGACTAGAAAAAAAAGACTACCATATAAAACTGGGCACCAACACTATGTAAAAATAGTCTAAGAAAATGGGACAGTTGATAGAAAAATAATGTAAGTAGCTTTTAACCATATGAAAATATACTCAACTGCTTATAAGATAAATGCAAATTAAAGCTAAACAGAGGTGAATATATGAAGAAATTGGAATCCTCGCAGCTTGCTGATGGGAATGTAAAATGGTACAGCTGCTTTGTAAAACAATTTTGTACTTCCTCAAAAAGTTAACATAGTTTCCATATTACCATGCAATTTTACTCCCAGTTATATGCCCAAGTGTCCAACATAGAGTTCCCACATAACCCAAAAATCCACTCGTAAGTACAGAGCCAAGAGAATTGAAAACATATCTATATAAAAACACAAAAACAATGTCCATAACAGCATTAATCATAATAAGCATAAGGTGGAAACAAGTCACTCATTAATTGATGAATGGTAAAAATGTGGTGTATCCTTACAATAGAATATTTGGCAATAAAAATATTGACACATGCTACAATATGAATAAACTTTGAAAATATTATGCTTAGTGAAAAAAGCTAGTCACAAAAGACCACATATTGTATGACTGCTTTTATATGAATTATCCAAAGTAGGCGAATCCACATAGACAGAAACATCAGTAGCTGAACAGGGCTGGGGGATGGACAGAGATACAGAGTATCTTGCTACTACAAGATATTGGATTTCTTGCTGGGGTGATAAAAATGTCCTCAAATTGTGATGGCTATATGAGACTGTTAATATAATAAAAGTCATCACTGTTTACAGAAATGGGTAAACTGTACAGTATGTGAAATATATCTTAATAAAGTACTTTTAAAAAACTACAGAGATGCTATTTCTTACCTCTTGGAATAGGGCATTTCCAAATGTGACATCAAATACTATTAGCAAGACTGTAAGGAAATTGGTACTTATAGACATTACTAGTAAGAATATGAATGGTACAAAGGAACCTATGAAAGGAAATACAGCAGTATTTAGCATAATTACATATATCTTTGATCTAACAACTCCACTTCTGTGAAATCAATCCCAAAATTGCCCTAACAAAATGTCAAAAACATGATGCACAAAAACTGAAGCACAATGTGTTAAAGCAAGAGATAAAAAATAATCTAATTGGGGGTGCCCGGGTGGCTCAGTTAGTTGAGTATCCAACTTTGGCTCAGGTCATGATCTCACAGTTTGTGAGCTCAAGCCCCACGTCGGTTCCGGTGACAGCTCAGAGCCTGGAGCCTGCTTTGGATTCTATGTCTCCCCCTCCCTCTGTCCCTTCCCCACTTGTGCGCACGCTCTCTCTCTCTCTATCTCAAAAATAAATAAACATTAAAACAATTTAAAAACTATAACCCAATTGTCCATTAGATGACTGATGGAAGTAATTCATGGTATACCCACATCACAAAGTACTATGCAGCAGTTAAAAAAGGGGAATATATTAATATGAAATGCTGTTTACATACATTATTAATTGCGAGAAAATGTGTATGCAAGAAAAGCATATATAGTTATGCCTTTTCTCTTAGGAAGAAAGGGAGAAGAGTAAGTATGCATGTATAAAGTACATTTGCTTTTATTTTTTTAAAGGGGGGATGGAATGCAGGGTGAAGAAGGAATAAGTGGGGGGGGCAAGGATAGAAGACCTCTTTCAATACAACTTGTTTTGTAAATTTCACTTTGGAGCTACATAAATATTTTCTGTTATTATAAAACAAATTATAACAAGCACAGCGTAAAAGTGGAAAATACTGAATTAAGAAAACAACACTATTTACAATTGTTGGAATAACCAAAGAAATTATTTCAAATAACTTTCAAATATAGTAATTTGACTGAAATATACATGGGGGAAAAAAAAGAATTGCCAAAACAATTGACTCAAACTGTTTTGAGTAACCATACTATTGGTAGTAATGCTGATCTTCTTTTAGAGACTTATATTTATAAGGTAGGATAAAATAAGTAATTATATGATATTCCAATCCTATAATTTTTAGTGTTCACGATAACTGGGAGTCTTAGCATGGGAGAAAATGGATACAGATATAAGATCATTAAAAGGGTTAAATAAAAAGCCTATAATTAAGAATCTGAATTGGAAATACTGGTATGAACTCATGCTATAGTTTACTTTGTTTTTTTTTTTTAATTAATGCATTTTCTTAGAGCAGTCTTAGGTTTTAGGTTTATAGAAAAATTGACCAAAAGTCAGAGTTCTCTCTTTCCTTGCCACTCTCTTATTATTAATATCTTAATACTTTGCACTGGTGTAGTACATTTGTTATAACTGATGAAGCTTTATTGATATATTATTAACTGAATCCAATAGTTTACATTAGGGTTCACTCTTTGTGTTGTAAAGTTATATGGGTGTTGCCAAATACATAATGTCATGTATTCACCATTACAGTATCGCACAGAATAGTTTACTTAAAAATCCCCTGTACTCCACCTAGTTATTCCTCCTCCCTCCCCAAATCCAGGCAACCACTGATTGCTTTCCCAACTCTACTATTTGCCTTTTCCAGAATGTGATGTAGTTAGAATCATAAAATATGTAAACTCTTCAAACTGGCTCCTTTCACTTAACAAGACACTAAGCATTTTCATGGTCTCATGGTTTGATAGTTATTTTTCATTTCTGAATAATACTCCTTTGTATGGATTAACTACATTGTTTATCCAATTACTAAATGAAGGGCACCTTGGTTGCTTTCAAGTTTTGGCAATTATGAACATGCTTCTATAAACTTATGTGCAGGTTTTTGTATGAACAAAAGTTTTCAATTTATTTGGGTAAATATCTAGGAGCACAATTGCAGGATCATATACAAAAACTATGTTTATTTTGTTTTGTTTCGTTTTTTTCAAGTTAGTTAACATACAGTGTAGTTGGCTTCAAGAGTAGAACCCACTGATTCATCTCTTACATATGACACCCAGTGCTCATCCCAAAAAGTGCCCTCCTTAATGCCTGTCACTCACTTAACCGACTCCCATCATCCCACAGTTTATTCTCTGTCTTTAAGAGTCTCTTATGTTTTGACTCCCTCTCTGTTTTTATCTTATTTTCCCTTCCCTTCCTCTATGTTCATCTGTTAAATTTCTCAAATTCCACATGAGTGAAATCATATGTCTTTCTCTGACTGACTTGTTTCGCTTAGTATAATACCCTCCAGTTCTATCCACATTGTTGCAGATGGCAAGATTTCATGATTTTTTCATCACCGCGTAGTATTCCATTGTGTGTGTGTATGTATGTATGTATGTATGTATGTATGTATGTATGTATATATCACTATTCCATTGTATGTGAGTATGTATGTATGTATTATGTATTACACCTTCTTAATACATTCATCGGTTGATGGGACATTTGGGCTCTTTCCATAATTTGGCAATTGTTGATAGTGCTGCTGTAACATTGGGGTGCATGTGCTCCTTTGAATCAGCATTTTTGTATCCTTTGGATAAATTCCTAATAGTGCAATTGCTGGGTCATAGGGTAGCTCTATCTTTAGTTTTTTTGAAGAACCTTCACACTGTTTTCCAGAGTCGCTGCACCAGTTTACTTTCTCACCAACAGTGTAAGAGGGCTTCCTTTTCTCCACACCCTTGCCAACATCTGTTGTTTCCTGAGTTGTCAATTTTAGCCATTCTGACTGGTGTGAAGTGATATCTCCTTATGATTTTGATTTGTATTTCCCTGATGATAAGCGATGCTTTACTTTTGTGTATGGAGTAAGAAAGTGGTCCAGTTTCCTTCTTCTGTATGTTGCTATGCAGTTCTCCTAGCACCATTTGCTAAAGAGACTGTTTTTTCCATTGGGTAATCTTTCCTGTTTTGTTGAAGATTGGTTGGCCATATATTTTTGGGTCCACTTCAGGGTTTTCTATTCTATTCCATTGATCCAGGTGTCTGTTTTTGTGCCAATACCATAGTGTCTTGATGATTATAGCTTTGTAGTACAGATTAAAGTCCGGGATTGAGATGCCTCCAGCTTTGGTTTTTTCAACATTACTTTGGCTATTCAGGGTCTTTTGTGGTTCCATACAAATTTTAGGATTGTTTGTTCTAGCTCTGTGAAGAATGCTGGTGTTATTTTGATAGGGATTGCATTGAATGTATAAA